GGATTTTTAATTTGTGAATTTGGATTGGATTAAGACGTCGACTCAATCCAATCCAAATGAATTTGTGAACGCACCCATAGACTCATTAGCAAACCACCCAATCAAATAGTATTTAATGAAAAAGAAATATTGTAACACATCATGTGTATTTGATCAATTTTGGGAAAGCTCAATTTAGTTTTGTTTTGCAAAGTTCTCTATTTTAAAAAAAAAATTAGCATTAGTGCTTTGAGATAAGTCGTTAATGCCTTTGTAACTGGTAAAGCAATTGATTGTTAAATTAATTTCCGTAGTAATGATGATTTCTTTGAAATTTCTATGTATCACTTTTGAGGTGAATTCTTAAAATATCGGGAATTCACATGACTGAAATTACATATGATTATGTCACTTGTCCGATTAGGAAATTCTTAAGTTTTTGATAGAAGGTGCATATAGTTATGAATTTTTGTGATATTTTATGTTAAATATTTGTGTTGAATTGCCATGCCAGTATACTATAAAATTGTTGTTATACAAATATTATGATATAAATTTTTAAATTAAGCTTTAATTTATAAAAAGATTAAAATTTTTCTTTTTAATTTTTAAAAAAGTAAATAAAATATTATTATTTTTATTATAATTATAATTATAAATATATTAACTCATTTTTAATAATAGTTATATTATTTTAATATAATAACAAACCTTCTTGAAAAATTAGTATAAAATCAAAAATAATAATTATAGATAGTCTGATTGAATATTTATGATAAAAATCTTATATAACTATCTAAAGAAATTTATAAAATATTATAACTTTAAATAAAAATGATAAAAAAATGATTATTTTATTGTTATAATTAAGGGTTAAGATTGAAATACTATAAGTAAAGATTTGTTTAAAATAAGAAAAATTTAATTATATATCTCACTATTTAAATTACATTTTATAATTAATAATAAATTATAATTAATCATCAAGAAGTATTTTCTTATAATTTTTCTATTATTTTAATAATAATTTAATATTATTATCAAATATATTGTAATTTGATATTTATCATATGTAAGTAATTTGAATGCAGCATTATAAAAAAAAAACTGCTTAAGCAACATGTATTTAATATAAATAAAAAAAAAATATATAAAGTCATCGAGAAATAAAAAATGATATAATTTTTGAAATATTACCAGTAATACAATGTAGCATTTATATAATAACTCATATTAATACATGTCAATACACAGAAAAAAAAATACATATTAAGGGGTAATTCAAATAAAATAAAATAAAAAATAATAATAAATTTATCATGACTTCATTTGAAAGTTATATTAAGAATCTAATTGTTCTAATTGTGCATCTACCTTAGCAATTACCTATATAAAATATGTATTAAGAAATATTCAAGATAATTATCAAAAGAACAAATTATAATAAAATGTGACATACATCATGAATATTTGGCCGACTTTGGGGATCTGCTTCTAACATAAATCTAATTAAATCCCTAAATTCTGGAGAATATCTACAAACATTGAATCATTGAATATTAGTTAAAATTGTATATTATGAAAGACGAAATAAAAAAAAAATTTATTCATTTATTACTGCTCGACGGAAGGAAATCGGACTTGAGCGTTAAGTACAGCTAAAGCCATTGATCCACCTTGTTCGTTCATACTAGTCTCAAATGGTGATTTTCTGTAAGCCATTGCATACAAAGTACATCCCAATGACTTTTTTTTTTAAAAAAAAATAATTCAAAAAGAATTAATTGAATTAATTGAATATATGAACAGATATAAAACAATGATTTCCGACTTACCCAGATATCAACTTTTTCATCAAGTGTAACATTAGTCTTTACATCAAACAATTCCGGTGCTCGATATGGCATAGTAGAATGTTCTGCTGCTAAATCTTGTTGTAATAAAGCTTGATTACGAGTTTGAATCTTTATTCGTGCTCGAATCAAAGATCCAAAATCCATCAATACAGGCGTTTGCATATCATCAGACAGCAAAATATTACTATATGGAAACCTTATTTAGCAAATTTGAAGCGGGATATAAAATAAATTGATTAAAGAGAAGTAAACTTACCCAGGTTTAATATCTCTGTGAGCAAACGGTACAATGTCATCCTCATTCTGTTCGTTAGATTGCGATGTAATCGAACCATTGTTCATTTCATTTACCATGTTATTTGTCTCTGATCTTAAAGGAACAGTAGGAAACCTATAAGTATGAAGGGCTCTAACAGCATAACAAATTCCTCGAAAAATTTTCAACATTTCTCTCTCGCTAAAACGTTTATTATGCGCCAAATTATTGTCGATGACATCTTGAAGGTTTCCGTTCTATATGGCCGAATTTAATTATGAATGTCATATAATAAAAAGCAAGATGAATTTCTAAATAAAATAACCAACCTTATAATATGGTAAAAAAATATATACAATTTTACCACCATCTTTGTCTTGAATAATACAAGTATCCTAATTCATAAATTGTAAAGTCAATTAACATAGAATTTCGATTATTGATTTAATCAAAGTTGAATTGCCAAACTTACAATGACTTTGATAATGTTTTCATGCGAAAATAATTTATACATATCAGCTTCTTTCATAGCATTCTTCACAGAATCGGTACCTAAAGGACAACGAATCTTTTTCAAAGCATATTGCCGGCCAGTGCTAACATCTTGCACCAGGTAAACAAAGGAGAACCCCCTAGATAATTTCAAATAATTAAGTCATGCGTAGAAAAAATTATAAATCTATTTTACTCTTAAAATTGTCTTACCCTTCACCAAGCAATTTTATCACCTTGAAAGTTCGGCGATTAATATGAAGTGTTGGGTTAGGAAAGCAACAGGAAGTGACAGCATATAATGTGTCTCGAAATGAACTCAATACTAAAGACATTATATTACGTCTTTGTTGCCAAATAAAACCCTGTATATTTAATAATTAATTAAAGATATCGATCCTTGTATAAAGGTTGATTTTGTAAGAATTTTCAGGTTTTCCGTTCTAATTAATTATTTAGCTGTGAATACTTTCTTTTTTTTGTGCAAACTCGAAAAACCAATTTTATATATAATTAAGGGATTTTTTATAATTAAGGGATGTTAGGGTCCGATCATATGACTGATCTCGGTCCATTTCTGAAGGTTGACCGGATCGGTACGCCAAGATAAATAAAAACCAGAAATAGATCATTACCAAATTACTTCTACGAGATATTAATATTAAAATGTAAGCCATATTTAAAACTATTACTAATTAATAAACGTAGGGAACCGCTGAACGATTCATGATTGGAGAATTTAATACGTTTTGCTAATATTAAAAAGTATGTTTTACTTTTTCAATGATTTTTTCCTCAAAAAAATCGATCCCCTAAAGAAGATCCCCAGATCGCTAAGATCTTGATTATAAACATCACTATTAGCACGTGAATAAAGGGTTATACCAAATATGGTAATTCCAAATATAGTAAACGCTACTGTATGACAACTCAAAAATGGGAATTTGGTCGCTGGCGAAATTTTTGGGACTCATTAAAAATTTAAAAAAATAATTAACTTCTTTTAATAGTATTTTATAACAATCTAATTTTAAATTAAATTTGATTAAAAGAATATAGTATTTATTTAACTAAATTCAGATTTTAATTAAAATTAACAGATCTTTTTAAACAATATATTGTTTGAATACGTATTCTAAATAATTCTGAATTTAATTTATTAACATTTAATTAAAACGCATCTAATAAATCAAAAATTATATTATCTTTAATTATTTTTAATTAATTTATTATTTAATGATTATCGAAAAATATAATTTAATTTATTATATTTTTAAGGTTAATAGATAGTAAGATATTATAATTAGAATATTTTTATAATAATTTATTACTTATTTATTCTTAAAAATTATTAACTAATAGCATTTTTTGCTTATAAAATTTATAAAACTATTACTATTTTAAATAATTTAAAAATGATTTAAAATGATTTTAATTAAAAAATAAAATTGTCTTTAAATTTAGAAGCAAAATCATTTAAAGATTAGTATTATAATAAAATAATTAATTTTTTAAAAAAAAAAAATAAATACTTTTATTAAGTGGGATACCACCATGTGATATAATTATATCATATGGTGGTATCCCACTTGCTCTAGATTATAGTACTACCATATAATCTGATGTTAGATTATTACCTAGTTGCCATTAAATTATTACTTATCACCATATAATCTGAATACCATTATATAATCTAAAAGATATAATCTAACTGCCACCTACTATTTAATCTAATTACCACCATATAATCTAAGTATCACTATTTCCTTTTTATTCCTATTTCGTCTACATGTTAAATTCTATATTGTTGGTATTAGCTTCACACACTTGTTTGGATGCCTGGTTCTTTATTGATAATACTGGCCTTCTGCACCTGACTGAGTACTAAATTTCGTATTGAGGTGCTTACCCTTTGCGCCTATTTGGTTACCTTTAAATTACTGAAATGTTGTAAAAAAAGAGGTGATAGATGACGTGATAAATTTGCGATTAATTTTGCCTAAATCTATAGTATAATTCTAGTTAATCTTTTGAGCATGTGATTTGAGGATCCAATTTGGTGTCGTAGTAGCATTCTGGTGGTGTCATAAAACTCTTCTGATACTGTCATGGAACTGGAAAGAAGCTAGAGAGGTTCTATTAGTTTGCCAGTTTTATGCTAGCTTGGATGCCAAATTATTATATCTAAAGATCTTGTCGAAATTAAGGAATAGTACTGGCTGACATTATTGTTAATTTACTGTGCCTACTGCGCCTTCAATTCCTGCCACTTCCCCGTCACCTTCTCATAACTTTCTCGTTACTTTCAAGAGATGTTTGCGGGATGTTGTAAGCACTTTCAAGATCTGAACATGATTTAAACTGGGTTGAAGTGATAAGTATACTATTTTTTTTGAGCGTTGGTCTTAGAAAGTTATTCCTAGGGCAGAAATTTTACTGGACTATTTCCTAAGGCAGAGTTTATTATAAGAGAAAGTGTTTTTTTTTCGATTTAACTTCTTGTATTATCTTCCCTAGGTTCCTTAGGATCCCTAGTAAAAAATAAAGTTCTTGGAAGAAAAACAGAATTTTTTGGTATATATATTGGTATGTTATATAGCATAATGGACATTTAACTTTCGAGCGATTTTATTGGTTGAAATTTGTGATAATCATTTTTGAAATATCACAT